CTTAGACATACCCAATGCAGAAGCTAATGCTCTAATGGTAGTTCTTTTGCGCAATGGGATCTGTTGAATAGCTCCCCCCTCAATAACCACCCTTTTCCTGCCCGCTTTGCTTGCTAACTTGTTTCTAACATCAATGGCAACCCCATCTTTAAGTTGTTTCCTTGTTGTGCTCCATATACTACTCACTGTTTTTCTTGAGACGTTATAATCTGTAGCTAACTTGTTGATTATGCCTCTCTGAACTGTGTACTCTCCAGTGAATATTTGCTTTGAATGCTTCAGGAGTTCATCAATTATTTGTTGCTTGGTAGTGTTAGAGAGCCTTTTGTACTTTGATTGGAGGTCTGGTGGTAACCCTTCTGCTTCTGCTTGCAGGTATGTATAAGGGGGAGAAGTTGTAGGCATGCTTGGAGACAAAAAGGGTGCTGAAAGTATCAGTAGAAGAAAATAAAGATTGAGAAAAGATTTTAGAAGGGCTACTGAAAGTAGCAGTAGAAGAAAAAAGGAGGGCAGTGGGTTCTAAGAATGGAAAATTTCTTCTATTTATAGATGTTGATTGGCGGCACTTTTTAGAATTTGGTGGAAATTTTTTAGAGGGAAGTGTAAATAATTGCTCCTTTGGTTAGAAAAATATTGGAGGGAACTGTAAAAAAATCTCCTTATGGTGTAATGATTAATGAATAGTCATTTTCTCTCATCCTTACAATATAATTGTACTCTTTTAGCTTTTTTAAATTGTCTACAGTTGTTAAATCATTTCCTACCCTATAATTTGTAATGGAGGGGCATTTATGGAAAGTCAATTCACATTTTACTCCCCCTTAAAAATGAGCCTTGGTCAAAACGAGAAATTAATAATAGGACGGAGGGAGTATTAAATAATGTAGTTCAGTACTATTCAATATTTCACATTTAAACTACGGAGTACAATTTATTTTTTTTAGATCAATTTTAAACATTGTTTGGGAATCTGAACTTGTCCTGACAGACCCGCTTGCTAACGTAATAGTTTTTCTAAAATAATGTACTTTAGTGTGAAAAATAATGTGATTAAAATAAAATTACACTTATTTTTTTTCTTATTACTCATTTTTAATTTATAAACTTACAATTCGTAATAAGTTTTTAATGACATCACATACCTAACTTAATTAAAATTTTAAAACAAAATATCCTAATAGTAATGACTTTAATATACTCACGGCATATTCTTTACAGCTTGAATTATTAACTTTCAGTTCCTTCTAGTTCCTCCCAGTTTCTTTCAGTTTCTTCTAGTTCCTTCCAACATCAAACTCTTTTTTTTTCAGTCCTAAAGAACAGGCCCTAAGTATGTATTTTGATAATTTGTCAATTTTTTAAGTATAAAATGCAAGTACTAGTATGTGTTTAAACATTCAAAATATAAAGTTTATAACCCATGGGATTGACTCGAAACCGAAGACTCTGATTATGAACATACACTTATCAATCCAAACTCGATATAATCTGAATCTAAAGTGACGAACCTGAACCGACCTGATCGGCCGTTTTTGTGAGCTCTACTCTTAGCCCAATTGAGGCAGGCCTACCGTATAAAGCAGCCCAGAAGAAATGGGCCGGAGCAATCCCATCATCATCATCCAGCCCCACCCTCCGGCACACGCGCCTACAGAACTGCGCGCGTGGTGTTCCCACCATTTAACCCATTCGGAGGAAACCGCCTTGCTGATATCTCTCCCTCTCTTCTGCGGCGAGCGATTCACCGGCCGTATCAAGCATCCGCCACTCCTGCGACGGCGTATACGGATTTCTTGGGATTTTGAGCCTAGGTCTGATCTGCGAAGTAGGGTTTTTGAGCTGACGGATGATCAAATGGAGCCTCCGTCACGAGTTACGATAACCTTAGGTCGCAAGGGTCAGGTAAAATGTTTAGCTTCAATCGCTTCAGTTTCGAAAGATAAACTGAAATGAGGGAACTGCCAAGTTGTTGTAGGTTTTCCTTTTGGGGGAATTTTGATTTTTTTTGCTATGAGTTCTTGTATGAAATTGATTCATCGTGGACAGGTGGTGAAGAAGGCAGCGGCTTCCACAGATTTTTCATTTGCTGATTCGCAGCCATCAGTTGGAAGTAAGCGGTCTGTTAAAGATAGGCTGGGAGCTGTTGGGGGCTGTACTTCACAGCTCAGCAGTAAACGGTATATCACATTCGAAAGATTAATCTTTTTCTTTTGATGAATGCGAGTGTGGATGATAGATGTTCCGGTGTAGTGTTTATCATGTGTGTTTATGCTAGTACGCCTTTTGTTTGGTTCTCTCCCGTACCGGTATCAAGTTTGGGTTTGTGGGATCCAAACTCATATCTCTTGTTTGGTTACAAAAAAAGGATTCCTCAATCCCAATCTTGAAACTTTCTCAAATCCATTTCCTCGTACCGCCAGTGGCCCAGCCTCTCTGGTCTGACAGCCACTCACAAGAACTCTATGTTTCTCTCATAGATTTAAAGCTCAAACACATGATTCAAAATCATTAGAGCTCTATTCCTTTGTTGTCTTATAGACTGCATTGGAAACATTAGAATGTTGTTTTCAAAGTCAAAGCAAACACCCGATTTAATCCATCAGACCTAAACTCATAACTTACCAACCTCATTACTTATCTGAACCCAATGCCTAGGACCAATTACCCCCTGAGTACTTTCTAGTGTAGCTCAGGATGTGCATGTGATGTTCATGTTCGGAAGCATAATTATCATTTAAGTAGTAATTTGGTAGGCATTGTGTTAGTTTACACATGTGTCATGCTGGAGGCAACTTTTGTTAATATTCGTTTGTTGTATGATTCAGGCAAAATTGAACTCTATTGCATTTCCTTGATAGAAAAAAATGATTTCCAAAAGTGAAATGAAAAGGTTTAAGCAATTCAGTTGTATTAATCTATGTAGACATGAAGTTACCGTGTTATTAACTTTGGCAGTCAGCGGGGAGATGGCAGTGGATGGAGCAGTAGTGCCTATAGTGGTGTTGATGGTAATAACTTATGTCCAAGTGCTTTACAATACTTAGTACTGACTGCAGATTTCTGAATGTTGTTGCAATTTATATGTTAAAGACGCTAGCCTTGATAAAGATGATCTTCGATTCAAAATATTGCGGAAAAGTGTGCTGAACAGAAGGCAAAGTAATGAAAAACAGAATGCGGTTGATCTGCGTGATGTGCTCTCAAGGTCAGGACAATCTTCAACTGGACCTATCAATACACGGCCACATATGCCTGAACCAAAGGATTCTAGGCTTCATCATATAGACCCACGGGATAGTAGACACCGTATGATTGAAGGTAGGGATGGTAGGCAGCACATGCCTGAAAGCAGACGGCTTAGACCTCCAATGCCAGATCCAAGGGATTCTAGACAGCTTATGTCCGAACTGAAGGATGTTAGATATCATATGTCTGAGCCTCGGAGTGCAGACATTGTCCGACAAACTCCTTCTGCAAGAAATGTGGATTCGCCTCTGGTGGACTCAAGAGCCTCTTTTTCACCATGGACATTGGATCGTTTAAGGCGCAAATCACCAGACGGGATTTTAAGTTCTAGAGGCGCTTCACCTCCCATGAGGGGGGATGAATTACAGAGAAGACCTACAGTAAGGGCATATGATGACCCTAGACTTGGCTCTCTCAGTAGCAAAGATTTTTCTCCATTTTCGCGCCCCGTGAGTTCTACCTATTTGGCAAACACAGCGCCACCTGCAAGGACAATGGTTCCATTGCATGCATCAATTCCTCCACCTGGTAGTCTAGTTCAGAAAGGCTCATTTGCGGTAAAAATTACCAAACTTCTTTTATTTTACCCTGAATTTTCATACAAAAGCTGCATATTGTGTATATGAGTTAAAGACTGATCCTCTTGGCAACTAAAAATCACCATTCCTACAAATTCTTAGGGATGATATCATTTAATTCAAAAAGGTTTCTATTTATGAATTATGATTGTCAAACTCTGGCGTTTCATTTTCTTGGTGTGTGATGGCTTTTCATAACCTTACAATGTTTTGTACCTTAATATGGGCTATTTTGTATCAAATAGCATGATATAAAAAGGTGTTTGTATCAACTCTGTGAGTGAATGTAATCATTTTTTTTAGGGAGACATGATTTAATCATTTAATCATTTTTTATAAAACAACATGATTTAAAAAAATGTGCACGAACTATGAAGAATCAAAATAACTTGAATCAGTTTACATATTGGTTGATTTGATTATGATCTTACCTGTGCATCTGTGAGTCAATGTCCTTAATATTGTTTTGAAGTCTGTTTTGTGACTTTGGAGTATTCCATTTGATGACTTGTTTGTTTTTAAAATATAATGTCAATTGCTTGAAGTTTGAGGCCTACTCCCCCTACCACATGGATGATTTACCTTGAATAGAAGGGCCTAAAGCCTTAAACCCATTTTTAAAACTTTGATCTAAACTCATTCAAAAATACTATCATACCTTCAAATATTATTGTTGATTTAATTGCATAATAAATTCTACAATCAACCGTAGTTTGACTCTACACAACCGAGTTACCCTTCTGATTTATAATCAATTTATGTTTGCTTCATTGTGGTCTTTAAATCTTATATGCACCATATAGAATACTCCCTCCGTCCTAAAACTTTCTTCTCAGTTCGGTTTACGAGATTTGACTGAAATTATTTTCAATTCAATGTTTTTGTTCATAGGTGTAAAATTAAAAAATAGAAATTATGTATTTAAAACTATATCAAAAGTTCTACAAAACAAGAAGTGACATGACTATATTATTTTATCAAATAAATAACGAAAATAGGTAAAGAATGTGATTAAAGTTTGAAGATGTATATAGTGTCTGGGAAGAAAGTTTTAGGATGGAGGGAGTAACATTACACCAATTACTTGTGAAATATCTTCACATAATTAATGACATCAAGTGAAATAATCCTAAACTGTGTTCTTTCTTTTATATGCCATAAATTTGTTGCTGTCTTCAAGCAATGCTCACTTCCAAACCCCACTAACACTTCATTTTTTCTCCAATTTGCTAGCCTTGCTATCCTTTGAACGTAAAAAAATGGTTTAACTGTGAGTCCGAGTAGGAGGACATCTTGGGATATACAAATGTTCAAAACATTATCTGATTTTATTAAAAATTGCACTGAAACCAAATGTGCCTTATATTTTGGGGGTGTACTGAGCAGCTTAATATACTGTATTAATTTTTAAAGTATTTACTATTTATATTATTTTTATGACTATTACTATTGTTGTTGTTACTATTATTAATATTATTAATGCAGTCAGGCTGTGCCACATTGATTAGAATCAGAATGCACACTTTCCGATCTTTGTGGTTGCTACTAGAGAATTTTAGGACAACCAGGCCAAGTAGTTATTTATGGAGCATCTACTATACAATGTATCTATCTCTCTATTTTGTGTTAAGATCAAGAGTTTCACCAAGTTATTTCTTGCCACCACCAAAGAAGATTACTAGCACTGAATTTTTTTCTTAAATGCCCATAAAGTGTGAATGAAATTAGCATGTGCACGTGCTTTTCTTAATTTTTTTTGCTTTGGGGGTGGGATTGTGATGTTGAGAAGGGCAAATGAAGTTAGCATCAGTTGGCTTTCAAGTTCACTATTTTTTCTCATTGTTCCATTTGTTTATGTACAGGTTGAAGATGTACCCACTGTTGATGGATTTTTGCATTCATTGGGTCTGGATAAATATGCCATAAATTTTAAAGCAGAGGAGGTTGGTTATCATTTGCTTTTTTCAAGCATTACTGAGAACCCTTTCCATATTTCTTGTGAACAAAATGTTGAGAGCACATATATTCAGAGCAGTTAACACATTCATTTAAGCATTTAGCCGATGAACGTGAACAGTTTTGGCATGCTACTCCCTAGATTGTGAAATTGAATGCTTCTAGAGGTTTTGGGGGGAGGTGCTGTGGAGTCACATTTTCACACCTGAACTTGATAATTTGCAGGTGGATATGCATGCATTGAGGCAGATGGGTGACAATGATCTCAAGGAGTTGGGAGTACCTATGGTGAGTTTTGGTTTTGATCCCTAATATTCCTGTTGGTTGGGTCCACATCAGTCATCTCATTTGTCTTGTACTTCTCGTGTTCATGTTTGGTACTCCGTACTATTTTTCTTCTATTGCTTATAGTTTATGGCTGATATGGAATAACCTGTTATACTGAATGGTAATTGCACAGAAACTGTTTTCTGATGCTGTAGATTTCAGTGAGGTTTGTCTGACAGTTTGGGTGTTGGTTTTACTCGTAGCCCTGTTATATTTCATATTTAAAACCTTATCAAGCAAAATTCTTTTGTTGAGTACTATTTTTTGATGGGTTAATGCCTTGTGGTATTGTGGATAATTTATGATAGGATTTACTTGTAAGGTCTCATTTACATAAAAAAAGGGGAAATGCTACTTTACCCCAAGGAAGACTGGCACCACCAGAGACAATCACGCACACACGCACATACACTTGGACACTTATGGTCTGTCAGATCATTGTCTGCGAAGACGGTGTCAACCTTGGTGTCAGTCGTGGTGTGATTGTAGCATGAGCCAAAAACAAATATTCCAAATGCTTTATGTCTCAATTCTTAATCTGGTGCATGTACTCACGGCTTCCATCATCCTGTGTCTAGCTTTTCCTTACAAGGGTTTCCATATTGCAGGGACCAAGAAAGAAGATCGTACTTGCCTTGTCTCGTACAAAGCGCCACCCATAAGAGGCAAAAGCTGCCACTGATGAGAGACATCACCGGTTCATGCGTGAATGCACTTTATAGTGCAGAAACAGGTTTTCTCAATCGATATCCTCTGGTGCCATTTTGAGTAATCGATCCTCCCATCGAGTTCTTTAAAACGTCCTAGAAACTCATTGCTAATCTTTGTACATGACATTTTTGTTGTTGTTTTGCTCCTTTTTCTTGACCAAGCTGAAGCTTTGGCAGTACTGGCCTTGTGGGTTTTAACTCTAATGACCACCTGTTGGCTCATTGATTTTATCGTATTGTCGAGTCAATCGGGTGCTTTGTTTTTCAAATCCAAGATGAATGCATTTCACTCTGTGTATCTTTTAAGATGAATTATCTTTCAAGATAATAGGGGCATATTGGGACATGCCCAAATATGTGTATAGCGAGTTAGACCCAACACACCCATTCCATTTGGTTATATTAATACTGTGTGTTTAAGCTTAGAACAAAGAGTCAAAGAAGATGAAAGCTTATCCTATTTAATGTTTTTGCATAAAAAGTGTGTTACAAACAAATCAGTTGTGTTAAATTTACTCAATCAACAAATACATAAAATTTTTAGTAGATGACTTCTTCTTGTATCATATTCAAAACTAAAACTTACATTTCCTCCATCCTATAACTTTTCGAAAAAAAAAAGATATGTTCTCATTAAATATTTTCATTTATCATAAATGAGGTATATTTAAACAAATGGAGTGCACAATTAACATTTAACACCACCCCATAATTAGATCCATCATATGTGACAGAACAAAAACATCTATCATGGCATTAATTTAAGCACGAAGCTTAAGAAAAAAAATTAATAGTAAAGATGTCTGATAAAAAAAGTATGTGCTTGAAATTTATTTTAAAGATATAAAAAAGGATAGGAGTCACATATTAATTTACTGAGTAAAAAATGGAAAAAAATTGGAAGTATAAAATTCTTTTTGTCATAGCCAAAATAAGAAAAATGCGGAGTATCTTTTTAAGAGCTACTAAAATGGATTTTAAAAAATCTATATTTAGATGACTTTAGCGCGATAAAATGAGAACACACACACACACAAGGATAAATGACATAAAAATAACAAAAGAGAGAATGTAAGGGCTCGATAATTTGATTAGCTCTAATCTGATTAGAATAAATTCTCACTTGATTTTAAATATTTAAAATTATTCCTGATTTGATCTGGTTGGATTTCAATAAAAATAAATAATAAGTTGAAGAAAACAAGCTCTAGGTACGTTAGAATTTTAAATTTCACACCATTATTTTAAAATCACGCGATTTTACATAATTACTCTAAGATTAAAAAATGTTCTCAATGCTTTTATACCAAGATTCTTTTAATGACATCGATTTTACATAATTGTTCTTATAATTTTTCCTTGGAAGTAATCTTGGTAAAAGTCTGTATAGATACACTCTCGAGACCTACATTCATTTATGGGATTTATTGTTGTTATAGACTCTTTTTTTTTTGTAAAAAATTTACTGTTAGTAAGGGAGGAATTATTCACCATTACTCTGGTTTGAGTTTTTTCAACCTTAGGCAGCAATCGGCTACTCCACCAAATTATCTCATTCCAGTTCCATTCCTCCCAGCACGATCCGCGCTGCTTCGTGAAAAAATTTCTGATCAATTCGATTCAGGTACTCTTTTTTTCTCTCGTTGTTTTTGAGCAATTCGATTTTTCTGTTGGAATCAATCTAAATAATCGTCTGTATTTGGAGGTTTAGTTGGTTTGCGATCTACGTTTCTGGTATCAATTGAATCGCTTTACTTGATTGTAAAAAAAAGATTGTAGATCGTCAGAGAAATGCTGGATCTTGGATTTGAATTCGCTATCCTTTGTATGATGAGATCGGATTTTAAGAAGAAAACTGGAAAAAAAATGAGAAACTTGAATTTTATGATGTTCACCATCCAATCTTCTTACGTTATTTCCCCTTCAACCCTCTGTGTAAAATTCCACAGATATAGTTACAACTCTGGGGAATCATCAGCTTAACTGATTTTAAGACTAGACTGTCTGGAAACTCTTTTTTATATATAAAAACATCAAATATAATGAACATTAGCTCATTTTAAATCAAATTTGACTATGTTTTTGGAACAACTTGTCCCAAAACTTAAGTGTCAATTTTTGTAATTTTTTTTTTATTTTTGTTAATCATTTGTTAAAATAACATGACACCTCGTATTTCATAGTATTTGATTTAGTTTTTAAATATATATTTCGTAATTTCCTTTTACTCCAGCATAGTTCTGTTCAAACAAGGCAAACTTTAATCATCAATTAAATTAATATTACGGAGTACATTGTATATTAATAAAATAATTTCCCTCAAAATTTGTTTGAAAATGTAAAACGGGGTACAATATAAATCTTATTATTATTATTATTCATTATAAAGCAATGTAATTCTTATTTAATTGATAACCAAAGTTTGTCTAGTTTGACTACAAAAAGTGAATCTGAACAAACTTACTATTTAAATAAATTGAATTGAAAATAAATTCAGTAAACCATTGTACTTTAGTTTTGGGATGTACGGAGTATAAATTTGGAAACATGACTTTCTTATGGGACATACCCACATAGGGAGAAGCGCATTGTTTTTTTTTGTGTGTGCTAAAGTTTGTAACTTCTCCTTTCAATTTGTGAAGCCCGATTTGGTTGAGTTGTTACAGGTAGAAAGAGAAAATGGCAGAACAAAAGAAGCAGGTGGATTTGACCAAGGTCAACCAGCTTCGCCCTTCGAATTTCGGGCTTAGCCTAAAAGTTAAGGTTGTGAGTTCAAAGCTGATTGGCCAAAGCGGCAGGGCACAGGGCCGTGTTGCTGAATGTTTGGTGGGAGATGAGACTGGAATTGTTGTCTTCACGGCTAGAAATGATCAAGGTTAGTTCATTATGTTAATTACTCCTTACATCAAAATGCTATGCTAGGGGTAATTGATTGAGGTCAGAGGTTATTTATAGGGGATTTCACACTGTCTTACGTGAAGTGTTTAGAGTGTGTATAGTTCAACTTATATGAGTGAAGTCTTTAGAAGGAGAGATTCAAATGGGAGTTCAAAATTTGATACGCTTCTCTCAAAATGCTGTTAAAATTTGGGTTCTCGATGAAAAATGTTTTTCAAAAACAAGTCAACCATCTATTTTGTCAAAAACTTGTGCTTTTGAGCTAAAATATGCACTTCTCCACGTACAAGGCATGCCAAACACTGTTCCAAAGAGAGCTTTTTGTGACTCTTCAAACTGTGTTATCTTATAATTGACTGTTGTTTGGCAATTAAGGGGTATTAGGTAGAAGTTTTTGACATCTGCTTAATTTTATGTTTATACTTACTCTTTCCGGCTGTATATCTTCTCTTATATGCTCAATGAAGAATTTAATCCTTAATAGTTGTATTTTATTTCTATTCAGAGTAACGAGATGATTATTTATTGCTCCCAATCGTCTAAAATGCAGAAAAGCATAGAAAATAATGCGAAAGTTCAAACCTTTATAATAATTATTCCATAGCGGTACGGATGGAGTATATGATTTTATCTTCACAGTGAAATGAGTGCTTGGTCAAAAGCACATCTGAAACTTGGGGGGGTAATATCCTGAAGTTTCTTTGCAGTAATAACTTTTATATGTAATGGATTTTTCGAGTGCTTGATCAAAAACACATCTGGAACTTGGGGATAAAACTCAGAAGAGTCTTTGCAGTGCTATTTTTTAATATGCAATGCAATCTTTTGGGGTATAAAACATTGGGGGGGGGGGGTAAAGTGTTACTGCTTTTTAAATTTTTTATGAAAATACATAATAGATTTTTATTATCAAGCAGATTTAAAGAATACGTTTGAATTTAAATAAGAAAGCTTAGGGTAAAACTATAAATCTATAAAGTGTATACTCTCTCCGTCGCATATAGAGAGTTATGTTTCTGAACTTATTTTTTGTCCAAAGGAGTCTAATTTGAATAATACAAATTAACTTCCATTATATGTAAAAAAAAGTGTTAGAAAAAGAATAACAATCCAGTTTTTTAAACCAAATATTGACCAGGAACAGTGTCCAAGTACAAACAATGAAAGCCAAACACAGACTACTAAATACACACTACATAAAAATATCAGATGATTCAGATCAGATACATTTTCTTCGTCTTGGAATTAACAAAATTTTTAAGAGTAAATTTGTTCTAGCCAACATTCTCCTTAATGGTTAGCACCTTATCCTGATGGATCTGCATGTTCCTGGCTCTCCACACAGCATAAGAATTTGCTGCAAAAGCAGCAATTAGTGTACTCTTTACCATCCTACCCTTAGCATGCATAATCTCAGTCTTCAGTTCCTGCTCATTTCTCGCCTGCTTTAACCATGTAAAAATGATAGTATGAATGACATTAGTTTAGGGACAAGAAAAGAATAGATGCGACTTATCTTCATTTGCATTATTTCACAAACACACACCTGACTTCCATATCCATAAATCTCCTAAGCATGACTTTGGTCCCCATAAAGAATTTCTACAGATACTCTGAATTTTCTTCAGTTGAGTGTGTTAGATTTAGTTAAACTAGCAAGCACACTTTTAAATATAGTTATGTTGATTATATTTAATAGTTGTACTTCATTACGATTAACAAGTTGTGCATTATTTTGTATGTAATGGATTTTTTAGAAGATGTTTTCTTTAAGGATTATTACATATGTTGTTCTTAAAACAAAAATTATAATAAAAGCTAGTACCTTATCGTTTTTTAAATATATTAATGGCGGTTGCGTTTTTTTAATTATAAATAAAGGTGTTTCTTACGAATCGACATATTTATAGGGCGTTTTGTAATAAAACAAATCTTCATTGTAATATATGCCAAAAACTAACTTTTGAAGTTCTTGGTGCTGTGTTTGTTTCAAATTTGGCTAGAATCAGTTAATCATTTTTCTCACCAGCTTTTCACAAGCAAGCGATCAACCGTTTCATTTTTCAGAATCAGCAAACGAGAAATTAGTCAGTTGATTTTGGCTCATTATGAGAATCTGAATCTGCTAAAAGGAGAATCCAAACCAATGCACCCTGGTTTATTTTTCTTTGTGTTTCAACTATTCTATGACACGAAACTTACTCATGGCTTAAAAAAGAACATATTTGACATGTTTTTCTCAGTTGCGTCAAGCTACAGTCACATCCCGTGCGTATGACACCTAGGTTGACACGACTAGTGTCTCGTAGACATACAATCATCTGATGGTGTCAAACTTGGCGTCATCACTGGGGTTAAAGTAGCATTTTCCTTCTCAGTGACGTGTACCAAGTATTCAACAATGACTATATTCAAAATATATTCACTGGGCGAAATGGGATCTGATTATGTGCAATATATATCTCATCCTTGTGATGTTTTTACGTTTTTGTCCTTGTACCAGTGGACATAATGAGAGAGGGTACTACCGTGCTGCTCACAAATGCCAGAGTCGACCTTTTCAAGGGATCAATGAGGCTTGCACTTGATCGTTATGGCCGTGTTGAAGTCACGACAGATGCAGACTTTTCTGTGCAGACAGATAATAATTTATCGTTGATCGAATTCGAACGCATATTTGTCATGGTGTGAGGTAAGCGGTGGCAAAGGCCGGCCTTTCCGTCTTGTGTGAGTTGTCTAATTATTGTTTACTACTACAAGTTTTGAACTACAACTTATAAAATTTGTGTTCTGTAACTTCTTTAAAATTATTATTTTTTAGTCAGAAAAAATAAGCAGCAGTCTTGTTTGATTATTGAATGGTTTTTCTTTTCTTAAGTCACATTATGAGATTACAAATTTGTACCGCGATATCAGTTTCTTTTCATACGTCAGAAGTGTATACTCTATTATTTCTTTTTTTTTTAAATGGGGCCTGGTGGACCTTGAGCGTTGAAAAAGTGAAAAAAATTTGATTGACATTTATTTAGAGGAGAAAAAAAATGTTATGCGTTAATTATATCGTACATCTGGATTTATCTAATATCTTGTACATTCAATAGGCATTATATGACTTGTGTGTATAAAAAAACACACGTTCTTTTTTCGCAATTTCATTTTTATTTTATTTTAACAAATTGTAAGTGTTATTTGTAACAAAATAAGTGTCTTTTAACAAAAAATGTGTATTTTGTAATTATTAAATATGCATTAGTGAGTATTGTTGGACTATACGTCTACTCTTTTAAGATAGAGTCCTAAAAAAAAACTCTATGAGAGGGTGTTAATTGAAAAAAATTCCAAATTAATGTAGTACTCTATATATGATAGAGGGTTGGACATGAAAATAAGATGAACTTTCTATTTTAGAGGGAAAAAAACCATGAGAATAATATGTTCTCATCTACTTTTAGGTACAACCAAGAACTATTTATGACACCAACTAATAAAGTGCTCATGCCAAGATTATGCATTACCCATAATCTTATTTAAAAAAAAAACTTAATGGAATTCTTACCATCATAGAATAAAACAATTCAATTACCAAAGAAATTGTCACCTTATCTCAAATAAATTATTACTTTTATTTCTCATAGGGAAGGAAAATGGTTGATTATATTACCTTAGCATCCCTATTGTTGTCTCTACCCCTCCTATTCAAGATCATTCAATTGTTCCCTTCAAAAACATCAAAAGGGAACTACAAGAGGCTCCCGCCGGGGCCGCCGCGGTGGCCTATCGTCGGTAACCTTCTCCAGCTCGGATGGCTCCCCCACCGCGACTTCGCTTCGTTTTGCGAGAAATACGGGCCATTGGTCTACCTGCGCCTCGGTAGCGTCGATGCCATCACGACCAACGATCCGGACGTCATCCGCAAAATACTCGTCCAGCAGGACGACGTCTTCGCGTCCCGCCCGAGGACCCTCGCGGCCGTCCACCTGGCCTACGGGTGCGGGGACATCGCCCTCGCCCCGCTCGGCCCGAAGTGGAAGCGGATGCGGAGGGTCTGCATGGAGCACTTGCTCACGACGAAGCGCCTCGATTCGTTCGCCAGACATCGCGCCGAGGAAGCGCAACACCTCGTGCACGATGTGTGGCGAATGACTACGACGACGGAACAGACGAACGGCGGGACCGTGAACTTGAGAGAGGTGTTGGGGGCATTCTCCATGAACAATGTGACAAGAATGTTGCTAGGAAAACAATTCTTTGGGAGTACAAAAATTAATGGTGATGAATCTTCTAGCCATAGCCATTACCACCAAGAAGCCATGGAATTCATGTATGTCACTCATGAGCTGTTCCATCTTCTTGGGTTGATCTATTTGGGAGATTATCTTCCATTTTGGAGATGGGTTGACCCATATGGGTGTGAGAAGAGAATGAGAGAGATTGAGAAAAGGATTGATGATTTTCACATGAAAATTCTTGAAGAACACAAAAAGAACAAGAAAGTTGAAGGAGATCAGATGGATTTTGTTGATGTTTTGCTGTCTTTGCCTGGTGAAAATGGCAAAGACCACATGGATGACATAGAAATTAAAGCTTTGATTCAAGTAAGGATTTCAATTAATGTTTTGTCCCAAAAAGAATATAATTCTGCATAGACTTTCATTGTATAATTTCATTTTTTCTTAAATTGTGTCAAAAAACAAGAACTTCTTTTAGGAACGAATGGAGTATTTAATTCCATCACATTGTTTGGTATGGTATAGGATATGATTGCAGCGGCAACGGATACATCAGCGGTGACCAACGAGTGGGCAATGGCGGAGGTGATCAAGCGCCCACGCATCCTAAAAAAGATCCAAGAAGAGCTCGACGCCGTGGTGGGGCCCGACCGGATGGTCTCGGAAAACGATCTCGCCCACCTGAACTACCTGCGGTGCGTGGTGCGCGAGACGTTCCGAACGCACCCGGCGGGGCCGTTTCTAATCCCGCACGAGTCCACACGGGCAACCACGATAAACGGGTACCACATCCCGGCCCGGACGCGCGTCTTCATCAACACGCACGGGCTGGGGCGGAACCCGAACGTGTGGGACGGGGACGTGGAGGATTTCAGGCCGGAGCGGCACTTGCTCCGGCCGGAAGATGGAAGCGGGCGAGTGGAAATAAGCCACGGGGCCGACTTCAAGATCCTCCCGTTCAGCGCGGGGAAGCGGAAGTGCCCCGGGGCACCACTTGGCGTCACGCTCGTCTTGATGGCATTGGCCCGACTCTTCCACGCCTTTGACTGGGGCCCTCCGGACGGCTCGAGGCCGGAGGACATTGACACCAGGGAGGTCTATGGAATGACCATGCCCATGGCTAAGCCATTGATAGTTGTTGCTAGGCCTCGCCTCAAAGACCATAGTTTGTACCACTCAAAATGAAGCCTTTATATCTATTGCCAAACATTTACAAATTCATTTTGGCAATGTGAAAGTGACATTAAATATTTAATACTCCTTAATAACAACAGCACATCATTGTTGACCACTTGACTAGTCCTAATTGCACTACTTCTATATCTTTTTATGTCACGCATAACATGAAAAAACATTAAAAACGAGTTGTGACATGCTTATTATATATATATATATAATTATTATATATATATATAATATTAAAAATTCTACAAAACAAGTTGGGACATGCCTAATTTATTTTATCAAATGATTAATGAAAATACATATGTAAACAAGAGGTGTCGGAGGCCTCAAATTAAACCGTAAAGTAACGATAATTTAGGGACAAATGAAGTATGTGTTAGAGAATTGGAGGTGATGTTTATAATTATTTCAAGTTTATGTACTTCATCGATCCATTTCAATTTATCTCACTGATAGAATATGCTAGTTTTGTGCATGTTGGTCAAAAGTCCTCGCAAAAAGATAAAAGCCGACCCAAAATCAAGTTTTGCGTCAGACTTATTTAAAAATATTTAAACCACGTAGGGTTGGCTAGGCCGAAGCAAAGTATTTTTATAAAATAAATAATTCATTTGCATCAGGTAAGCCCATGTAAATTTGCGAGGGCACGTGACCCTCGCTAATTTCTTGCTGCTAATAACCCATATTCTAGTAGTGTCTTAACTATTTAGTTTTTCATCCTGAACCTTTTGACATAAACAAATTAATCAAATAATTCAAAAAAATAACACAATAAAATTATATAATAACCCTTCCGTCTCACAATTTTTTTTGGTTTTACTTTTACAGAGTTTAAAAATATTAAAAACTAAACAAATGTGATAAGAATTTGATATGAAGAGAGAATTTTTGAGTCACATATTAATTATTTTCTGTAAAATGAAATTAAAGTTTTTTTTGGACGAATAAAAAGGAAAAAGAAATATTTTCATGGAAAGAGGGAATAAAAGCATATCTTTATGAGTAATACGGAGTAATTTATTGCTTATATGTTGATCATGTTTTTATAGAGTAATAATTTGGACTTGAGAACTATACTCTACTCTACTCTCTAAAGTACGGAGTAAAAGAATTTTACCCTCCATCAGAATCTTTATTCACTTTCTATAATTTTTTTTGTATAAAGTTTTGCCATGAAACAAATTTCATTATTTGATTTTATAAAATTTTAAAAATGTTATAAACTAAAAACATGGGTGGTTAAATTTATTTAGGAAAGAAAAAAACTTGTAAGTTATATGTCAAGGAACCAACTCAACCAAAAGTTCAAACCTGTGGTTGTAGCCTAAAAAGATTTATTTATATTCTAACACGCCCCTCACGTGCAGGCGTAGTCTTTTTGGAGCCTTGCACGTAAAACTTTAATTTTTCTTAAAACTGGGTGGCGTTAAGTTTCGAACTCGTGACCTCTTAGTCAACAAGGCTCTGATACCATGTCAAAGAACCAACTCAACCAAAATTCAAGCTTGTGGTTGTGGTCCAGGAAGAGTTATTTATATTCTAACACTATATACATGGAGTATTTTATTTTTACAACAAAACAAGTGATATTTATAATGAATTGGAAATTAAAGAAAAGTACAAAATTTATTTTGAGACAAGCAAAATATTTTACTATTTTCTTCGTCTGGATTTAATCTTTCAATTTTAGTTTTCTTGGTGAAAATTTGTAAGCTTTGACCTCAGTATGCGAAAAAAATATATTGTGTTTCGATGAGGATGTAATATCGATAATTTCTTTTTGAGTAAATTTCATAAATGGTCCCTTTTAACATGTGGTTTTTCATATTTAGTACCCAATTCTTAGATATTCCATAAATGATCCTCAATTTTTAAAAAATATTCTCATATTTGGCCAAAGAACTATTTATGAAATAGTTTCCTAAAATTGAGGACAATATGTGGAATATCTAAAAATCAGAGACTAAATATGGAAAATCAGCTCTAATTGGGGACTATTTTTAGAAATTTCTCTTTCTTTTTGAAAGGTATATTTAAAATATTGAAATTTAATAAAAATAACTTTTATAAATGTTAATCTTAATAATCAAAATATTAATCCCTCCGTTCCACAAAACATTTCCATTTTAATTTTTTGTGCACCCCATAAAATACTTCTATCCCACCTAAAATGTCTAAAATACCCCTAAAACAACTTCTACCCGCAATAAACTATATAGTGGGGTATATTTTAGATATTTTAGGTGAGAGTAAAAGCGTTTAATGAGGTGCGCAAAAATTTAGGGCGAAAAGATTTTAAGGAACGGAGGGAGTAGAAAATTAGATTGAAAGAGGGGAGTAGTATTTTGAATCATGCATGATATCCCATGACGTAGCTCGTACCCCTTAAAATGACTAATGAATGACGTCACACTCCCTCAGTCGTCATTATATTAGGGGGAGTACTATAAATAGGACCCCTCTAAATAAGGAAAATGCATCAGAAAAAACACAAAACATAGAAATCATAAAATTGACCCAAAATGACGTCACAAAATAATGGTCACGTTTTGTTGATACCATACCCTTCTCAAGGGCACATCAACCCCATCTTACAATTCGCCAAACGTTTGGCCTCCAAAGGCGTCAAGGCCACCGTCGCCACCACCACCTACACCGTGAAATCCATCAACTCCGCCGCCGTCTCCGTCGAGCCGATCTCCGACGGATTCGACGAGGGCGGCTTCGCGCAGGCGAAGCGAGCCGACGTCTACCTCCGCTCGTTCGAGGCGACCGGCTCGCGGACTCTGTCGGGCGTGATCGCCAAGTACGAGGGCACGGCCCACCCGGTGAACTGCGTCGTGTACGACTCGTTCTTCCCGTGGGCCCTCGACGTGGCGAGGCAGCACGGTGTGCACGCGGCAGCGTTTTTCACGAACTCTGCCGCCGTCTGCGCCGTGTTTGCCCATGTCCACGTTGGGAACTTGGCAGTGCCGGTGGTGGCCGGGGAGGAGGAGGCAGTGGTGCTGCCGGGGATCCCGCCGTTGAAGGGTCAAGATGTTCCGAGCTATCTCACGGCGCCGGAGAGCTATCCGGCGTACTTTTCTATGTTGATGAAACAGTTCTCCAACGTGGCAAATGCTGATTGGGTATTTGGAAACACATTTCATGAATTAGAAGGAGAGGTATAACCTTTTACTTCCTTCCCTTCTAAACTCTTTTCTATTTTTAAAATCCCCTTCCCTTCCCATGACAGGAATTAATGTGATGGGATGACTCGGGATGTTCTAGTGTCCCGTTCGTAAAATTGGCAATTCCATACTCCTAACCCTCCGATGAACTCTCTCATCCCGCCCCGACCCGAACACACCCCCAACCCCTTCAATTGCACCCCTAAGTTAATTAACATGGGAACCGGCCCCTTTACAAACGCGGCACCGAAACACCGTACTTCCGGGTCATCCCATGATATTGATTTTCAATGTCATGGGAATCACCCCCTTTTAAAATACTCCATGTTTAAGTACCCTTTCGTTCTATAAACTCCTTCTCATTTCCTTTTTTCTTTGTCTCACAAAGTCTTTCATCTTTATATTAAAAAAAAAATTTTAGTGCTGCTAATTTTTATCCCATTTATCACATCTTTTTCTTTAATTTCATTAATAATATACTCATCACAGCCTACTAGCTTTTAGTCATCACATCAAAAGTATTTTGAAAAGTTATACAAATATATCCTTTTTTAGTCATCAAAAGTATTTTAAAAAGTCAAAATGGAAAAGACTTCAGGGAACGGAGGAAGTATTAACTAAGCCAAACGAATTCCCTAACAACCCATTCATAACTTTGTGGGAGACCTCCATAGATAGAATAAAAACTATGAAAATACCAAAATAGGAGTAATAAAACTTTTAAAACCAAAATATAAGGGTCCGTTTGGTATAAGGAATTGGTGGAATTGGAATTGAATTGGAATTGAAATTCCATGGGATTCAATTCCATAGAATTGAATTCTGGCAATTCCAATTCATTTTTTGCACTATCAATTCCAAATCCACATAATTTTTGTGCTACCAAACACCAGAATTGGAATTGAAGTTCCCAATTCCAATTCCAAAGTTTGAATTCCATGTACCAAACGGGGCCTAAGAGTTTAAACTATCATTACTACACTGCCATACTCATTATATTGTCACATTATAATTGTCACACTATCGATCACCGCCAGTCCGACACACTATTTGGTGGCCACCGGCCACCAGAGTGCCACTGCGATCATTGACGGTTTACTAATTGCATTTATATATTACACTGTCATCAGTTTTCTATTACACTTCCAACACGTACTTTTACATTACACTGTCATCATATTTTAGTAAATTTTTTTTTTACTCTTATTCAGAGAGATTTCTTTAGTTTTATATGGAGTATTCAATAGATATAACTCCATAACTTGTATTTTATCAATTAATGCTATCAAATCGTTTTGTAAGATACGGAGTACGATTTAACGATCAAAATCATTCGATATTATTGACGTTTAAATAGAGACGGGTATCATATATAATCCCAACATCAAACCATATACTTGTACTATAGAGGGTTAAATAATGTTACAAAAAAACAATCAATAAAATAAAACGGAGTAAAAGTTTAATGCAACAATAATTATGTATATGCATTCTTACCCCACATGAAAATTAATTAGTTGCAATATTTTATAAAACGTAATTGTAATAAAGTAATTTATTAAGAGATTATAATTAAGTTGAAATCAATCCATAAAAAATAGGATTTGCAAATATTAAAGATAACAACTGAAATGTATATTTAATTAATTGATTTAACAATTGTTGGGAAAGCGGTCTGTTTTTCGAGAATTTCCGGTTCATTTTTTGAGAACCTGCCCCGTCCCATTTTGAAAATGGAAATGTTGGGTTCGGAGTATGATTTACGCGAACCATTTGAAAACTTAATTCTGAATTCCTAAACCAATATCATATGAAGTATATAGAATTGTAAGAGTCCATTTCAAGCTAGTGGGCGTTACGCAATTGTCAAAGGTAGAGAGTGCGAATGAGGTAGACCCGAGATCGATTCCTGACAACTGCACTGCTGAGAGACAAATATGCTAAACATTAGAGTTTTATAAGTCCCAAGTACACGTTGCACTTTATGACACCAATTTATAATTAAAACCCAATTTAGCTTATTTCCATGATGATTGTCCGGTGGGATTTGACGTGAAAAGTTGGGAAAAATGAACACTTTTAGGCAAAGAGAAAAAAGTGAAATCCTTAGTGGGACAGAGAGGCATAGCATAATGATTCCTTCCCTCTTCAAACTAACTTGACACTTTAACTTTGGAGATTCTAAGAAAAATTTATATAGTGTTAGGAATTGATAGGTGTTTGAGAAAAATTGAAAATGAAAGGTTGAATTTATTTGAAAAAGAGATGAATAAGATTTTCTACACAAGTATTCCTTAAATGAGAAGCATTAAAATTTTCAAGTATTTCAAGTATTACTCCGTGTAATGGATGCATTTTTAGAAGCCAAAAAAAATTCATTTTGTGCATGATGCTGTGATGATTCTTTCTCTTTCACCTTTTGTGCCCAATTTCTACTCTTTTTTGTTTAAATTTTTTAAAAAAATGTTGAGCAAAGGGTACCAAAGAAGAGTAACTCAAGTTTGATACCTGACAACTGTTATGGGAGATAACTTTGCTAGACATAGAGTCTTTATAAAGTGCAGACTCTGGAAGTTTCTAAAATAATAATGAAATTGGGTAGAGTATGTAAAATGATGTGGGTAAAGTGTAATAAATAAAGTGTAAAATGACAAGTTTTTTAAAGTCTTGATCTGATCTGGTCTAATCTGATCTGATTGGATTTGATCAGATCTGATATAAATTTGATTTTAAATTAAAATTATTATTTATAATAGTAATAATTATAGTACTACTAATAATAGAAATAATAATAATAATAGCAATACTAATAATAATTGAAATAAAAATAATAGTAATAGTAATAATAGTAATAATAATAACTATAAAAATAATAATAATACTAATAATAATAATAGGAATAATAGTAATAGAAATAATAATAATAATAATAGTGATTATAATAATAGCAATGATAATAGTAATAGTAATAGTAATAGCAATAATAATATTAAATTGAATTTTAAAAGTAATAATAATATTAGTAATAATTATTATAATCATAATTCTAATAATAATAATAATAATAATTTTGTTTAGATCTGATCTGATTGGATCTAATCTGGTGTGATCTGAGATTTGATCTGCTCTGATTTTAATAAGAATAAAAAATAACCAGAAAAAATAAGTTGAATAGAACACAGCCTAAGTGAGGATAATTGTAATATTTTAAATATTAAAAAAATATTGGAAATGTATTTTGTGGATCAACAGGAAAAGGGCATTTGGAAAGATATAAAGAACTCTTTGAGTTAAAGTGGTACTAATACGAATCTGAATGGTCGTCCGTATTCAAATCCTTTAAAACTAAACTTTTTATTCTTAGAAAGATAAAGCATATGATGAATAAAATGATCAGTTTATACTTACCGAGAGGCACATATTCTACATTCTAACAAGCTAACCATATTCAAAACAATAAAAGAGAATAAATGTGCTTGGCATATTTGAAACTTATATAAAGAAGAACTTTGCCATGGTCACACCACTTTTTTGATACCATTTTGACCCGATAACTTTTTTGATCTAAATGTTTCCTTCTTATTTAAAGCTTCTCATCACAAGAAATCAATTTTTAAAACGACTTGATTTTATCATGAAAATAATACTCCGTATTTCTTATGCAGAATCTATGTCCTATGACTAGAAAATTGTTTGATAACTAAATTTAGAATGTCCATCCATATAGTAAAGTTTTAACTTTTTTTTTCTAGTAAAGGATGAATAATTGAAATTCTCCCTAGCTTGATTGAGTGGTAACAAACCCACTCCCTAGGATTTATGGAAAAATTCACCCTAATTCGAGCCCCACCAGAAGCGGAAGCATTGGCTCTTTGTGTCTTTAGATTGAGAATAATATGAATTATGAATGGATATTACCTTGTAATAGAGTCAAAGACATTCAAAAAAAGGACAAATAATTAAATATAAAGCCGGAACTCTCTGCGTGCAAGAATCACATACCGGTGTATTTTTTTTATCACTGTTACCAGAAGTCGATTCACGATGGTACTAATTTAAAATCTCATTACTAGCCCGCATGGGTAACTCGAATGGTTCAATAAGAGAATGTCAAGCCCGTTAATCCTAAGATCGAATCTCTGTAGCGACACTGTGAGAGTTCTATTTTTTGTATTAGCTCTTTGTGTGCACTGGGCACAGGGGCAATCACTCAAAAGACCATATTGAGATTATACCATGATTTATTCCTTCACAATCCTATCGGATCGGAGGGTGAGACATGCGGGATGGGCGTTCCACCTTTTTAAATCTCATTACCAATAAAATCCAAATAAGGTAGGTGATTAGGTGACCAAGTTTGGCAAAATTATAGGGAGTACAATTTATCATAATTATTTGAAGTACGAAGGACTATGAATCATGATGAATTAATTGTGACAGGTGATGGCTTGTGTGTCACATGTGTGGCCGGCAAAATTGATTGGGCCCATGGTCCCATCGTCTTATTTGGACGGCACTATCGAAGGCGACAATGGGTACGGTTCAAGTTTATGGAAGCCCATTGGCGAGGAGGCCCAAAAATGGCTAGAGACAAGGCCCAATGACTCCGTTGTCTACGTCTCTTTCGGAAGCATGGTGTCTTTAAGCCCAAACCAAATGAACGAGTTGGCTTGGGCGTTGATAGACTCCTGCTTGGACTTCCTCTGGGTCGTGAGGGAGTCCGAGCAGAGCAAGTTGCCCGACGGGTTCTCGGACGCCGCGGCCAGGGGGAAAGGACTGGTCGTGTCGTGGTGCAACCAGCTCGAAGTGCTGGCCCACCAGGCTGTCGGGTGTTTCGTGACGCACTGCGGGTGGAACTCGACTCTGGAATTGCTCAGCCTCGGAGTCCCTGCAGTGGCGATGCCGCAGTTCACCGACCAGTTCACCGACGCGAAATTCATCGAGGATGTATGGAGGGTTGGCGTGAGGCCGAGATTGAACGAGTTCGGGACGGTGGATAGGGAGGAACTTGGGCGTTGTCTTAAGGAAGCGATGGAAGGGGAGAGGAGTGAAGAGATAAAGAGGAATGCAAGGAAGTGGAGGGAGTTGGCTAAGGGTGCAATTAGCAAAGGGGGGAGTTCTGATATGGTTATTAATGATTTTGTGGAGCACCTCAAATGTCCTAAGGGAAATATCAATTATGAATGAGTAGTTTATACTCTTTTGTATCAGCATGTTCAAAAATATTTTTCTCAATTCTATATATGTGTGGTTGGAAAGTCATTTTTACTTCATTAAGAGTACTTTATATACTCAATAAACACAATATTATTTTATCTTAAATTTGTCTGTGTGATATCCTAATACTCCAAAGATTGCTTAATATATTCAATACACAATGTCGTTTATCTTCATGTTGTTTCCTTTTTTGTCTCATACAAAAATTTTCTTTTTTCAAAATAGAACAAACTGTCTCAAAGTGGAGGGGATATTCTCATTACCTCGTAAAAGGCCCCCATTTTTGTCATCATATGTTATGCCTTCGTTAGGTACATGATGTGAATTTCTTAGGTTCCTCTGGTGAGATTCAAGCCAGGGAAATCCTAGGAAATCAAAGACCTGCTTTTCGGTGTCAAACTTCAAGCTAGCCCCCTTTTTCCCCTGCACAAAAACACGGGTTAATACAAACTGCGCGCGCGCGCACGCACACACACACAAAACACACAACATCAACAACAACCTACTAAACCTAGTAAAATCCCAATTCCGTTGAGGTACGTATGGGGTCAAGATGTACACAATTTTATCCTTGTCAAAACAAAGAAATGGTTTCCATTAAACCCTAGATGGATTGTTGCATGTAGTACCCAAAAATTCATAGAAATTAAGAAGCAAAGTTTAATGTGTCATTTTGATTTAGTCCATTACACACACATACTCCCCTTGTCCCATAACTAAAGTCTCACTTGGACCTCCCATAAGAGAGTGTAATGTGTTTAATGACGGTGTTTTATCCTTGTCAAAACAAAGAAATGGTTTCCATTAGACCCTAGATGGATTGTTGCATGTAGTACCCAAAAATTCATAGAAATTAAGAAGCAAAGTTTAATGTGTCATTTTGATTTAGTCCATTACACACACATACTCCCCTTGTCCCATAACTAAAGTCTCACTTGGACCTCCCATAAGAGAGTGTAATGTGTTTAATGACGGTGGGAAAAAAATGGGGGTGGGTAGAAAAAGTGGTTGAAAAAAGTATATGTATTATAGTAAATAAAAAATGAGCAATGCTAGGGGTACACCAAAATCCCATTTGTCCCCCACCCCTTTCTCCACCATTCAATTCTATTTTATTTTTATTTATTTAATTTTTTTTAATCTCTTGCCTTTTTTTGTGGTTATGGAGGGGGTGGGGGACAAATGGGGTACACCTTTGGTGTACCCCTAGCATTTTTCATAAAAAATAGATGAGAGATGCTAGGGGTACACCATATTTGGTATACCCCAAGTGTACACCATGCTAAGGATACCACACATCTTTATTCATTTATTTCTTTTCTTTTTTTAACACTAAACAGTATGTGGTATGGGAATGCTTGGGGTACACTTTTACCCAAGCATTTTTCATATCACAGCAAATGAAGAAGCCATCATACTTGTTTCCTGTGGGAACTCTGAGTAACAGGAAACAACCCTGTATCATCCAGTCGAAAGCCCTTTTGTTTCTGCCAACGATCTAAGCCTGCATGAGTGGAAAATATCACCACAGGCTATAACGTTGTGTGTTGAATTTCCTCAAAATGAAAAAAAAACAAAAAAAGAAGGCTAATCATGGCGGGTGGTCACATTGGCGAGAAATTCCACATTGTTATTTAAATTATGCATGAAAATGCTTACATATACTTCCTTTGTCCTTAAATTAAATTCACACATTTTTTTTCATTCGTCTCAAATTAAACTTAACACATTCTCTTATTTCCTTTTAAAGAAATGGATATGAGGCTCACAACATATCTTTCTCTTCTAATTAAAAAAATATGAATCACATTTTTAACATTTTTCATAAATTCCGTGAAGTAAATCTACAAATTAGTTTTGGGGACAAAGGGATTATGTAGCATGGAGAATACATGCAAAAAATGCTATTCACTAATCAATACTCCAGCTTTTTTCTTTTGACAGACTATTATGATGACTTTATTGATACATAAAATGATGAATGAATATAGACATTGTGCATGTTCATATTCATTCAACTTTTGATGTATGACAAAAATAAAACAAGTTGGTTTATTCCAACAAGAGTGTAAAGATTCATAAATACTTAGTACTCCCTCCGTCCCCGAGTATTTGTCCAGTATTCCTTTTTGGGCCGTCCTACAATATTTGTCCACTTTCCATTTATGGTAAAGAAAATAATATGAAATGTCTATTTAACCCTCATCATTTACTCTCTTCCCCACTCATTCAAATCTAATCAAATATCTTATGTCTCTCCCTCTCTTTATTCTCGTCCACTCATCTTCTCCCCAAATTTCCTTCATCTTTGCGCATGAATCAGAGCTGTGCAACGGTGGATGGATACCTTCTCCGATGACAATCAAGTGGGAGAATTGGAGTTGGACGGCAGTTCTTTAGAATTGTATGTCTTCTCATAATCTAGATCTCCACATTGGTAGAGAAGACATCTTGTCCGTCTCTGTCGAGGTCGTCAAAATCGAAAACGATTGTCGCCGTTGAGGCTGTCTTCACCGCCAACAACCCAAACCTCTTTTGGTTTTCTTTCCTCCCTTCTCCGATCTCGGTGCAGCGGTATTACTGGAGACTAACTTTGCGACGGAGTTCTTGTTGTGCTGGGAGGATGATGCTTAGAGGATGGGAGTGGGTGGTGTGATAGCAGGGGGTGCGTTAGCAAGCTGAAGGGAGTGGTGTACCCCGTGGTAAGGTAGGAGGACGACGATGATTTTTTTGTTCCAGGGGTAATTGAGTCATTTTGCTCCTCATCTTGGTAAATGTGCCAATCCCAAAGTGGACAAAAACTGGGGGACGGAGGGAGTATATGATTTAAGGTGAACATACCTCCTGTTCAAAACATCATTTCCTGTCCATGCTATCAGGCCAAATGCATATATATCTCTTGGGTACACCTATAAGATAAATAAACTCGTATGATTGGCTCAATCCATATTAAACCAATGTAATGGGCCATAAATTGGGGTTCATAGTTTGTAAGGCGTCGCCTAGGTGATAAGGCGCTGTCACTGGGACGCCTTGTTTGCTCGCCTCGCCTAGAAAACCTTAGGGCGACCAGGCGCTCGCCTAGGCGTCGCCTTTCCTCGCCTTAATTCGCCTTAATTCGCCTTACCTCGCCTTGATGCCTTGGGCCCATTTAAAATTTTGAAAAAAACCCATTTTTTAGTGCAGCCCATTTTCTTTTAGTGTAGCCTAATAGACTTAAACTTATCTTCTCTCTCTCTCGGTCTTCTTTGTCTTGATCAAGCTTCCTTAAAATGTATAAGACCTATATATATATATATATATATATATATATATATATATATATATATATATATATATATATTTGTCGCCTAGGCGATATGAAGGTACATTGGCGCCTCGCCTCGCCTTGGCGCCTTACAAACTATGTTGGGGTTAGGCCATAGGCGGGGCTTTTGAGGGGGTAGGCAGTGCATTTGATGGAATTGACAGGGCGATTATTAACCAGTCCAAGAAAAGTATGATTTAAGGAACCCTTAACATCTAGGATGGGACTGATCACTGATAAAATTGTTAGTCTTCACAGAGTTTTTAGTCCCTGCATAGGGACTAATATATTGCATATTCACTCACGTAGTCACATGCGAACTGACCGGCCCATACATGAAGGGACCCTACCATTTCAAAGTATAGAAATTTCATTTCCTCCTTTCTATGCAATATTTTCAGGAAAAATTTAGTGGTGCCACTACTGAACTAACAAAGAATGGTGATGTGAAATGGCATTGCTCGAAACTAAGTATTCGTAGGAGTTTAAGAGCATAAATGGTGGTAAATGGAAAGAGAGAGTTTATGAAATTACCTTGAAGTCAATGCGATGTCGCAATTCACGACCGGGATAAGTGCAGAGACTAAAATATGTGTCTACTCCTGAATCTGTACCCTGTTTTTAAGCGCAGATTTTCAAATCACGTACGGAGTATGAAATAAGAATAGGCAATTAAACCTGTCAGATAAAAGTTGATGTCTCATTTCTTTTTGAAAAAGAAAAAGAGTGTAGTCCGTGATATATTGCACTTCAGTCCCTTAAATTTTCTCGGTGACATGCTATTTTGGTTTATGTAACAGATACAAATATTAAGAACAGCTGAATAGAACAAAAAGCAATTACCTCTTCACTGTGAACACTGAAGACTGAATCTTCCCTCAAAAAGTTCATATCTTTCAGATGTTTTACATACTTTGAAAGAAAGCCTATATGACTGAAAAAAATAAACCAATCATATTTCAAGAAATATGACTTGAACTTGAAGCCCTGAAGTCCCATCCAAATGAGCTATTTTAGACTAAGTTCTCTTTGTAACAATACACAATGCTCCATAACAAAGAGGAACTCTCTCCAAGAATACATCAGCCTCGGATGGAAATAATTTGATAAAAATTCATGACAATTTGTGGCTCTGGTGCATTTAACTTTGCTTTATTAGAAATGTGCTTAAACCCCACATACTGTTCAAACACTCATTAGGGATATAGTGCACAAGCATTTCTGTTTTTACCTTTTTCCATCAGGGTGAGTAATAACTATATCCATATCCCCACAGGATTCCTTTCCACGTCTATATGATCCCCCACACAGAATCCTTACCTGATAAATTATCAATGATGACCAAAGGATATATATAGTAATACACTAATGTTTTACTTGTTTAGTGCTTGCTGACCTAAAATGCAAGTACATATGGGAGTCATTCATAGCCATTTCAGATTATATCACAAAAATGGACAGAAGTATGCGGCAAGATCAAGTTGTCAAAAGGCATGCTTTTCCAAACAATAAAATGTCCAATTTTCTGCAGACAACTTTAATAATAGTGTTACTATGTGAAAGTAACAATAGCATATATCTAAAAATCCATATTTCTTAAGCAGTAGCACTGTGTATTCACATAAGAACCCAATTCTTACTCCAGGCAAAATCTCTTCTCCAGCCTTCTGCAAAAGTTGCTCCATCTCTTCAATCTACATGATAAATCAGCACATGATAGAAAATGTTTCAAGCTACAAAAGAATGTTTGAAGACCACGATAAACCAACCTCTTTCCGTGGGATCCTTGTTTTGATGTCCTGAAAATATTTTAAACCTAGCTTTTGGGAATTTATCAAGGATTTCTCATTCTTTAGGTCATCTAGGGTTCGGTGCCCTTTCTCGTAGAGTTTTAGAGCAGTAACTGGACCAATGCCCCATACTTCTCCAAATAAGTTGATTGTTTGAACCTGGGAAATTCTAGCAACATCAATTTCTGGGTGCCCTGTATTTTAAACTTTCAGAAAGGGACACAAGGAAGAGGTTGTTCGACCAAAGGAAACGAAATACTCTGTACTAAAATCATTTAATGACCATGCACATTACATAGATTTACTAAGAAAGAAAAAATGAACATGACCTTTTCATCGTTCTCAAAGTTCTCCAATTTGGATAGCTTCCCAGTGTTCACTATCTCCATAATCTGCAAAAGGAACACTACTTCAATTTCTATATTATTCATTGCATACTTAAGGCAGATACTTTCCAGCAAAATGCCCTAAAATCAGTTTTTAATATTGTGATTTAAAAAATTAAAATCCAGAACTACCTTAATATAATCACCTGAAATGGCATAAAATTAAAGGATTATAAAGCATCAACCACAGTAATAATGATAAAAGAGGAAATAACTTTTCACTTACATGATCCTGCATTGACTTTCCAATGCTAGGAAGGTGTCTGACCTGGTCCACATTCACAATTTTGAAAGGCAGTTTCTCAATAACTGAGATGGCCTTGTTATAGCTAAATGACCTCCTATCATCACCGAGTGCTATCATTGAATACCAGGTACTTCATGTAAGGCACCAAACAGGGTCATATCGTATTCAAATTTGACCTATGATTGACAGTTAAATTGAAAAGGGAAAAAGTGGGACAATCAACAATGTACCTCTATAGATGCTGACGAGCTTTCCAAATATCTCAGTGACATTCTTGTTTAAGTCAGGAGGTTTATAAATAAATGATGAATCTGAAGTGATGTCCTGCTCAATAAATGATGTAAACATTCAAAACTCAAAATAGAAAAAAAGGGCCATATATGATAATGACTGAAGGGACCTGAGGAATGAGAGAAATAATGTAGAGAAAGTTGAATATGATTCTGTAAACAATTACTCCATATGTGCTATTCGAAGTTCGTAAGGATTGGGGATTCAATATTGTCTGTAAGAGCGCAGATTGCATACAACATTATCATGATGACTAAGGGCAACTTCACTGGTAATTTCTGGGCCTGAAATATGTGATTTACTATCCGAGTCACATGAACTGCCATTGTAGTATTCAGTGTCTGTATTGCGTTCTGGGCTGGCAACATTTTCTCTTTCAGAAGAGATTCTGCTCTTCTTTGGAATCTGTTCATCAGAGCAGCTTTTATGTTCTGCAGATAAAGTTTGAATTTTCCCTCCTCCAGATTTGAGTGTTATGACATATAAATCCTCAGGCACCGCTTTTCCCTCTCTCAAACTGCTCTCTAGCCACTGATATAGGAGTACTTTCTGAATATAATGTAATTAGAAAAAGAATGGAGAACTTGATTCAGAGTTCAGACAACACGTGGTCATAATTTTTTCCAAAACGGTTACAGAATGCTAAATAAAAAAACATGTTGGGAAAACTTTTAAAATCCCATGCCTGCACAGAAACGTCAGTTGACATACTTAATTGTGCGTCCACTGCAACAGTGAAGAAACTATTATATCAAATTAGAAGAAACAGAGAAAGTATGATACGTAATAAGGTGGGATTGAGTGACAAGCGAAGTTTCAAACCAAACTCCAATAACACAATGAAGAAGAAGAGAACTAAAATAATAGATAGCTAAATACTCCATGCTACTTAACCATTAACAGTAATAATAATAATAATCCACAAGATCTTGGTGGAATCAAATTGCATAGTTAAGCAGATTCAAGGTCTTCCTAGGAGAAAAGCTAAACATGGAATATTTTCAAGCTCCTCTACTGACTAAAAATTTGTGAAGATGACACTAAGGCAATTCAAATATCAGTTTGGAATCAGAATACAATACATAGAAAAAAACATATCACGATCAGAAAAAGCTAAAAGAATAATTCCATGAAGATGCATTTGTGGAGGAATCTAAGCTCACAGTTTTGTAACGACTCAGCCGCTCGCGATCAAGCTCCTTGAGAAGCGAATCGGAGTCCATGACGAAAACGTGCGTAACCTTTCTGGAAAATTGGTCCTCGATACTCGCTCCCATCTGCACCAATTTCTGCTTCCATATCTGAATTGAAAGGCCATTAACAGGATTAGTAAGTTCATAAACGGTTGATGATTTTCGTATGGAATTTAGTGGAGAAACCTAACGGCTGATGACAGAACCGGGAAACCTGTAACCGGCGAGCTTGGACACCTTCTCCGACTAACAAGACGGCCATTCCGGAGAACATTCCATGAGAATCTGCAGGTGGAGATTCCTTCTTTGGCGCCATTTCCTTCTCCCTGTTTTCCCTCTCACTGCCACACTGGAGTCGCGGCACAACTTCATGATGGGCTCTTCCGGTTCATTGCCTAACGGTGGGTCGGTGGTAGTTCCGGTTTGGTTGAAGGTGGGAATCAGCTCGGGAAGTTTCCAGACTACATGAAAACCGGTCCAATATTTCAATAATCTCTCCCTTCTAAAACTTGTTTCCCGTTTAACCGACTTTGTTTTAATTTAATTTATTTGATTGTAGGTGTAAAATTAAAAAATAAAATTTATATAT